AAAAGGAAAACCCGTTATACCCAAATATTTCCCCTCAAACTCATGCGAAATACCAAAATTTGGAAAAACATAGCATACTTTACACTCATGAAAGACCCAATTTTGGCGTTAAAATACCGTATACCCAATTTAAAATCCCCCTGTATACCGTATACCCAGAAACCCTAGCCGACCCTGACTAAAGGAAAAGAGGGACTGCTTGTTGTCTAATCTATAAATAAATATTAATTGTATACTCATGTAGTTTTACAGAAAAAAAAACTGGCATAAAAAAAAAAAAAAAACTCTGAGCCGCGGCGTTCCCAAAGGGACTGCAGACCCACTTTTTTCTTCATATTTTCAAAAGAGAGTCTATAATTTTCGTTCCAAGGTTCCTCCGGTAGCGATATTCTATTGCAAGTGTCGTCTGACAATCTAACACACTAGAAAGTACATTCTTCATTTTGTCATATGCATATTCCTCAGGGTTTTATTTTTTTGGTTCTTATGAAAAAGGCAATGAACTCTATGGAGGCTGAAATTATAAATATGCCTTTGCATGTCGCAATTGAGAGGGCAACATTCAGCAAGAATAATTAACTTCCCACGCTGGATGAAATGCTCCTAAATCTCAAAATATAACTCATAAAGTACTTCTCTGGAAGGATTGTAAGTTTTCTGTGAGAACAACTGGCATATTTACCTGTTCTGTCTCAAATTGAGTGACTTGTTTCATTGGAGTTCTTTGTGTCACTGGCACTGTTGATTCGTTGGCATGCGCAGGACTGCTATGTTTAGTTGTGGCATCATTAATGGTTGCTGCATGTTTTCCGCAGGTTTGGGGTAGATTTATACCTGTTGAAATTATTAGATCAGTTTACTACAACCACCAAAATAAACCAAGAACTATAACTAAGAAAACAAACATGTACATCAGTTTACTGAAATCCGCAAGAGGAATGAGAAAGAGGTACTTTTCTTTTCCCCATTTCTGCCTTTCCTCAGCTTCCTCGCCCGCAGTTTTCCGGTTTCAACTGAAGTTTATTCCTTATTTTTATTTGCTGTTAGTCAAAAACTTTCACAATTAAAAGTGTCCTGTCTAAAACAACCACTATCAGCAACCGAATTGGAACATTACGTGTAAAAAAGGTCAATAAGGTCAGTGGCAAACTACGTTCTGGAGTTTACGTACCACAAAAGTCTAATTCGGCCAGCACTTTTGTCGCTTAAAACTTAAACTAAAAGCTTCAAATACAATAAACATGTTCACAGTACTTGAGATTGTTCCCAATGGTCTTTTTCCAGTTGCAGTTAACACAGTCTTGGGGGTTTTATCCCTGCCAGCATCCTTGCTGTTCGTTCGACCGATGGGAATCGGAATCCGGNGTTCCCAATGGTCTTTTTCCAGTTGCAGTTAACACAGTCTTGGGGGTTTTATCCCTGCCAGCATCCTTGCTGTTCGTTCGACCGATGGGAATCGGAATCCGGGATGGCGGCTTGTTTTGATTTTTTTCCAGGCGATTCCTCAGAATGCGCTGCTTCTTATTAACTTCGTCTTTAGACGAGGAACTTTTTCCGCTGTTGTTGTTCAAAAGATTTACTCTGCGGACGGGTATTCTGGATTTTTGTTGAACTGGGGAAAGGCAATTCTTGGCACCTTCAATCTCGCTACTAAGCTGGCACGAAGCCATAGCGTTTAAACTGGTTTTCGACGCCGTGTTTGAACGACAACTTTCTCCAAACTTTTCCCGTTCTTTGTTGTTTGGTTTTGTTCCGTTTTGTAAATTTTCTCTTCGATTTCACTGTGAAAAATATCACAATTCTCTTGCTCCGAATCTCAATGCTGACCGCACCGATAGCTGAAGCAAATGATCGAGTTTTGTTTCAAAACCATGGAAACGGTCTTCGATCGTTTCGTCATAAACAGCCATACTTGCTCGATTGCTCGCGCACAGAAATCTAGTACTCAGTTTCCTTAAAACGTAGATTTTACGTCATCATTTAGTGTGAATTTTAAGCTCTCTGTGAAAATGGTTTGAACATATCTAAAAGTGACAAAATCAACAAATAGCAACTGTTATTTAGATGCGAAGAATGAGTGGAAAATTGGTACGAATAAATTTGCTGAAGATCAGATGAAATAAGCTTACAATTTTGTTCAAATCCTGCATGAACGTCTTGACACAAGCATAAAGCAACTGTCTCTTTAATGCACCTCTGCAACTTACATAAGGTATGAAGAAAGCTGTCCTGTACTAAGGATAATCTACATCAAACGCAATTCAGCCCGCAATAAAAGTTTTTAAAAATTCCACAAAAACTGAACTCACCTCGAAAGGCGCGATTGGTGCATGCTGTGTGGACATTCGTCTAATTCCATACATACTCAGCGTGTAAATAATAGCATTTGTAATCTTGTTCATCTTAGCAGTTCTTCTTGAAAACTCGTGGAAAGTATGAATTGAACAAAGCCCATGAAATGGCATTTGCTTCAGCCGAAGACTATTACCGAAGCGAAGGGAAATTCTTTGCCAAGTTCATTGAAGTTTTGTGGGCCACTAAAAATATCTTTGGAAAACTCCTTTGACATTTGAGACAAAAAATCTTTTAAGACTCTGGCCCAATTTCATGCATTTGGACACGAAGTAACTGTAGTTGAAATGCCAAACCCTCTCGGCTTAGTCTTTGCCTTTCACTGATTATTTTCAAACCCGATTTTCGAGCCAACTCAGTGCCTGTAACGCGCAAACAGCCAATCAGGGACAAGTACTTTAATTAGCTGTCAATCAGCATCGCAGGAAACGTACAAAAATCATAACTTATTGAACCGACTTTTGGCTCCTCTTCCCAAGTCCGGTTAAGTCGTAGCAACTCAAAAACGAGGCAATAAATCGAAAGGAAACTTGGTTCTTTATTTCTTTTTTCGGGATATGAAGTGGGAAAAATCAGTTTTTCGACTTTACAACTTGAAAAGCTGTGAATGTACTGTGGGAACGATTCTGTATCACGGACCTCCCGCAAGTCCGCCCTAAATTTCTCTTACCCTGTGGTCAAATACATTACATCGGATCCGCAGTGGGGCAACCGATTCATTTGTAAATCCCTTTCCTGGTAATTCAGTAAATCGCACGATTACGCAAACATCTTGTTTTAGAAATGGTCGCAGGAAATATGTGAGAAGATTTCTGTTTTGCTCGTTCGGCAATACCAGTTTTCTGTTTTCTTCTGCTCAGTCAGTCACCTGTTCAGCAGCCTCAGTCCTCTACGCAAAAAAA